ATGCAGCTCTTAAAAATGCAACTTTTATTGCTGATCCTGTCTAATATTTACCATAAATGTCTAACTTTTACCATAAAAAAGTACAGGATTCTTAAGATTCTTATTATAGATTAATGTGGCAGGTTAAGCAGTCTTGAAATACAGGACAAAGCTCAGGAAAACCAATGCTTGCAGAATTTTAGCAGTAAACCAGTTAAGCTCATACGGTGTCCAGCTGTGTTGGTGTGGGTAGACAGTTTAGCAGGAGGAGGTCATTTCATTTTCCATTCATTAACTCCTTCACTACTTCGGCAAGCTTTTACCGAGTGCCTTGAGGGCAGGTTTTTTTTTTTTTGAGCAGCTTTATTGAAGTCTAATTTGCATACCATAAAAATCTACTCCTTGTAAGTGTACAGTGCAGTGATTTTTTAAAAAAGTAAATTTATAGAGTTATGGAACCATCACCACAATCCAGTTTCAGAACATTTTCATTGCCCCAGAGTTGCCTTGTGCCAGTTTGTAGTTAGTCCCTGATCTCAGCCTTAGGCAAGCACTGATCGACTTTTAGTTTCTGTGCATTTACCTTTTCTCGACATTTCATAGAATCACACAATGTATGGTTTTTGGGTCTGACTTCTTTTCCTCAGCATAATATTTTCAATCCTCATCCTTGTAGTGTGTGTTCCTTTTAATTGCTGAATAGTATTCCAGTGTATCAATATACTGCATTTTATTTATCCATTCATCTGGTAAACAGCTGTAAACATAAAAACTTGAAGTGGTTTTCTTGGCTGGTGCCTTTTATTTAAGAAATTTTTTTTTAGTTTTTAAAAGGTTGTATTTTGGGGTTTTTTTTCTGGGGGGGAGGTAATTAAGTTTATTTATTTGTTTAATTTACCTTTTACTGGAGGCACTGGGATTAAACCCAGGACCAGGTACATGCTAAGCACTCACTCTAACACTGAGCTACACCCTCCCCCAGCTCCCCCCATGCCTTTTAAAAATATGAAAACATTCACTGTTAAGTGCCCCACTTAATTAAAAACATGGGCAATTCATTAACTTATAGTAGAAGTTAGATGTGAGAAAATCTAACTCTAATGGGGGCAGCCAGCCCCCCAGAGTGGATGCCAGAGAGTGCTCAGCAGAGAGCATTCTGGGAAGTGGAAGGGGCTGAGCTGAGAAAATAAGGAGTCCATGAGAGTGGGTTCCCCTTTCATTTTGCAGGGATTATCATGTACCTAAGTCAAGATGAGAAGAGATGGAAAACCTTTGGGTGACATGATTATAAATCAGTGCCCATGGTATGCCCACCACAAGCTAAAGGCTGTAGGTTCATGTGGTAGTATAAGTGTGTTCTCCTTGGTTCCCTAGTCTTAATGGACTTGGGTTTGGATTGCAAATTATACAAGATCTCCTGAGATGCATTGCTCACCTAAGTATACATCACGTTCATATTCTTAGTTCTCTGATGGGAGGGACCATTTTGGTTACATTTACCACAGAAGCCAGGCATCATACTAGGTGCTGGCACAACTAAGATGAATGAGACGGGATCCTTGCTGTCAGAGAGCTCAAGTTGGCAAGGGGAGATAGCTGTGGAAAGCAGATTGTTAACAGAGTGATTGGCCAAGCGTGCAGCACGAGGAAGCACTCAGGAAGGCTTCCTGGAGGAGGGGACCCTTAAGCTAAGTCTTGAATGACCAGTAGGAATAGGGTCAGGTCAAATGGGGAGGTGAAAAGGGATGTTTGGAGGGTGTTAAGTAGACTCTCCCTCAGCAGGGCAAGGCATCGTGATGAGCTAATTATAGGATAACGCTCACCTGGGTTTTCTGCTGTGTTGGATTGATTGTGACCTGTGTGCCACTAGAAGGTAACACTGCTGACGTAACTCAAACCTTGGGGACCAGATTTGTGCTGTTCATCTGCATTCCATTCCTCTTAGGGGCCAGGTGTTATTATAGAGTTGGCGGGGTAGTTACTGACTTGTGTGTTGGAGCCAAGCAAACTGTTTATTGAGTTAATCATTGCTTTTGCAGATGATTCCTTTTAAGGTGCAGGCTGTGGTTTATCATGGAGAACTTTAAACACAGCCGAAGGTTTTTAGTCCCCCTGTTCCCCCACCTTGAGACAGGGCTCTGGTCAGGCTTCATTTTGCTTTGCCTCTGTTTTGGTTCCTGTGGGATTTAGATACTTTTGGCAGGTGTCCCAGCTTCTGGGAAGCCCTCAGATGTGTGCCTTGCTTAGATATGCAGAGAGATTAGCATATGTACGTGTAATATTTAAGAGTGACATCTGCCCATCAAAAAGGGTTGTTTCAATGTGGAGGAGTATTCTGGGACCCCGGGTTCAAGGTTAATAACCCTTTTACCTACCCACTGAAAAGCACTTATGGAGCACATGCTACGTACCAGGTGCCGAGTGAGCTAGGTGCAGGGGGGCCAGGAAGTCAAGGTAGGAGCTGGAAACCAAATAGTTTAGTTGAGGGCGAGTGTTAGGTTTGGGATGCCAGGTAGGGTTCCTTCCTGTGTAGGGCTAACTTGGGTCAATGGGAGTAGTAGCCTGGAATACTGGGATAGATGAGTGATGTCTGTCATGGGCACAGGCTAGAGAGTAAATGTAGGGGTGCTGTGTATTTGCTGATGCTGTGTTAGGGTTTTCTGGTGTAGGCAGAAGACTTGAGTAAAGGTGGTGTATGGGAGGGGGTGGGCTTTTGTCTTAGAATAAAGCATGTTTGTCTTGATATTATGGGGTATAGTGGAAACTGACCATCTTGGATCAGCATGTGTCTGGGTAGGGCCGGAGGACAGACGTGCTGCTACTTATGTACTTACTATGAGCTCTCTCTCAAATGTCTTTAAGCCTCAGTTTCTTGGCATGTAAAATGGAGATAATACCTGCCTCCACATATCATAATGTTGATGGGAGGAGCTAATGAAATCATGGATATGAAAATGTTTTACCACCTACAGAGTGATAAACACTAGGAGTATTATTACTATAGGTGTGGGGGTGGGTGGAGCAGGAAATGCCTGTAGTTAGGCAAGGATGAGCCAGATGGTGGTGGCCTCAGGGTCTTTGCACTGGGCCCCGCTGCCCAGCCTGCTGCTTCTTGTCATATCCAAGTCATAACTCTAAGGTTACCTCCAGTCAAGCCACAGACTCTAAGCCTGTTGCTGTCCTGGCTCCACCTACCACCTCATCCTGTTTTATTTTCTTCAAAGTTCTCATCAACAGAAATGGTCTGGTTACCTTATTTGTGTATCTCCCCCTGATAAAACTGCGGAAACGTGGTGAGGCAGAGACCTCCTCTGCCTCACTCCCATCTTCATAGTCTCAGAGCCTAGAACAATGCCTGGCACTTAGGAAAAGTTCAGGGTTCTTAACATTTGCTGCATGAGTGAATGGAAGAGTCTTTGAAGTCCACAGATCCAGTTGGGCTGGGGGCCAAGGAGCCTTGGAAGGATTGCTAAGAACAGAGTGTATTTGCTGTGACCTCATCTCTTTGTGAACATGATCCTAAATCTCCCGTTTCTTTGGTTAGTGAGAAATAAATTCAATTAAATGCACAGTAATTGTAACTTAATTGAAAATTCCATCAGCTTTGGATCTGACTTCACAATGTAATCTCTTATAACAAAATGAAGAACAAGAATCAGAATTCATATTATTTTTTTAGGGTATGTAACAGGCCATGAAATTACACAGTGTTTCCAATTTGGCAGGCTGGTGAATTCAATCTCTTAAAAGATAATCTTATATCATAAACGACATGATGAGAATTAGAGTTGAAACTTGTGAATTGGATACAATTAACAGCCAGCCCCTCCCCACGTGGAACTGATTTGTTTTTAAATTGGCTTTTTTTTTTTGCTCCCCTGCTGGCTGGCACCAATTCCATTTCCCCTTGTTTCTTGTGAATTGTTACTATGCTTTCACCAGGCTGCTGAATGTGGCTAGGCTATGTGGGGCTCCCCTCAGTTAGGTGAAATGAACATAAATGGGGGGAGCTGTGTGGAGTCAATTACATGTCAATTACCTGCCTGTAACTCCAGGTGTCTAGTGTGTACCTTCACACTGAGGTTCACACCTGGCAAGTCACTTGCTCCCTGGAGATGCTGGGGCCACACTGGTTGTTTCTCTCCCTTCGTAGGGTGGATTGATGAATCATTGGTTCTCTCGCAGGGTAACCTGTTTGTGTGCCCAGTTTGAGGCTGTCCTGCAGCATGGCTTGAAGAGGAGTCGAGGATTAGCACTAACAGCGGCCGCCATCAAACAGGCAGCGGGCTTCTCCAGCAAAACTGAAACAGGTACTGCTCGGCCTGGTGCACAAAAGGATGTTCTTTGCTCTTGCTCTTTTTTAAAATTTTCATTTTATTTTTTTAATAGTGGGCAAGGTAGTCATTGTGTGGGACTGGTGGGGGTGGGTGGCAGGTGATGGTGCCGAAATCCACGTGTAAGGATGTGTTAACTCGCAGTCAGTAACGATGTTGTCTGGCATCTTAATTTAAATGAGGTCACCCTTTGTGCGTAATCCTCAGAGCCACGTGTTGCAGGCTCTGAGGGATTCAGGGGCCTGCAGCCAAGGTACCTATTTAACCAACGTGGTGGCAATTGCTGAGAAATTAACTGTCTGTTCTAATTTTACGCAGAGGGATAGCACAGCATTTCATAGTTAATTCTGTCTTAACAGCAGTAACAGCAACAGAGACAACGCAGGTCTCTGAGCTTATAATTCTACCATCCATTTTAAAGTTGTCCTATGTCCTGTGCTCCTGTGTCTCTGAATGACAGGAAAAATGCTAATAATAATAACTCTTAGCACTCATGGGTACTTAGTGCAAGCCTGGCACTTTGTTAGTCTTTTGTATAAATGAACTTGCTCAGTTCTCACAACAGTCATATGGGTGGTTGGGACCGTCATCTTCTCCACTGTGATTTGTTCAAAGCGATTTGCTTTGGATTTGAACTTCGCAACGTATCATGTCATATAAAGACGTCCTATGTCCTTCTTCTCCCCCCACGTTTGTTTTATTTATTTATTTATTTTATTGTGTTACACTGCTTTTTTAAAATATATGTATTTTCTTGAAGTATAATCTGTTTACAATGTTGTGTCAACCCGCACATTTGAAAGAGTGGATTCTTTCAGTCCCTGTTTGTGGCTGCTGCCCTGAGTTCCCAAATCTTTCTCATTTCCTGTGATAATCAGTGTCACTGCTGAGTAAAATGTGTCACCTCCTTTCACAATGAAAAATCAGCACTCGCCAGGTTTGGTGGAGGCGCCCGTGGAGATTCTCTGGTGACTGAAGCAAATCCTTTGCCTTTCCGTTTCACTCTGGTTGGCATGTCTCCCCTTTTCTCTCAGCCCTTCAGCAGATCTTTGTTTCCTGTTCATCTCACCGGTTGCTCATTTTCAGAAATGAATGTGGTTCCTGTTGGGGCCAGGGGAGAGTTGCCAGAGGGATTCCTGTCACCACTGATCTTTCTTCTGTGTTCCCTTCTTTAAAAGTCAGGGATATAGGGGCCGGTTCAGAAGAAGAGCCAGTGCGAGGGGCTTCAGTCCTCATAGAAACCGCAGCTAGCTGCCTTGGCCACCTCAGATGTTAGCCTCAGCTGTCTTGGTGGCATCTTCTGTCCAGGATGCCTCCCTGAGTCTCTGTATGTGGGGATGGTGTCGGGCTGGTTGATGAGCTGTTTGAGGACGTGGCCTTTCCCAGAGTCTTCCTTGCTTGCTGGGCCCTCATGTTTCTCCTTGTTTCCTTCTTACCTGTCTGTGGGGGAGCCCCACCAGGCTCTGGGCCTGCCTCCCTCTGGGTGAGGGCAGCTCCTGCGCATGGCAGAAGCAACCCTAGCTCTGGAGTCAGGCTCTGGGGTAAGTCTGCTGTGACCCTGGGAAAGGTCCCCTCTTCATTGTTTTCACCTGTACAGGTGGAACGTCCTACCTACCTGGGGAGGGGAGGGGTTGTCAGGATTCAGTGAGAACCTCATGTGAAGCACCTGCTTCAGTTCATAGACCTTAATCAATGTTTAACCAGTTACTCTTTGCTCCTAAACACCCTCTACACTTTTAACCCCTTTCTCCTTCTCACCCCCTTGCAAGGCTCTGCCCTTCTGACCACGAAGAATGGCTCTTTCTATTCCCATTTAGACAAGAATTCTTGTGTTTTTGTTACTTGACCCTGATAGTCGTAGAAGCGCCCACACGTTTGCAAGGCATCGCCAACATTCACGATTTTGCTGTTTCTCTGCATCTTAGCACTTGCAATCCCGAAGAGACTGACGAACAAGCAGTCTCTGGCTTTGTTTCTGCTAAGGAGGGTGTGCTGAGCAGCCTCCCAGCCAATTAGAAGCAAAGGAAAGACCAAACTAGCTTAGCCCTTGAGTGGCTGCCAAGGGCTTCTGTCATCATTGTCGGCAGTGTTAATTAACCATCCACAGGGTGCAGGATAGTCCTTGGCTGGTTAAAGCCTCTTTCCTGCTATTGAATGTTTGATTAAAAACCTCATGAGAGAGGGAGACAGGTGTTTTTTTTGACTGTTAGTAGTTGGGAAAGATCAGATCAATGACTTCTTATGGTTGTTCTTAAAGCCATTGGAATGACCTTGCCAGGCAGAATGAAGCAAAAGAAATCTGAAGAGGAGGATTGTATGGGAATGAGTGTTGCTCTGCTCCCTTGTCCCTGCTGGCTGCTGGGCTGGGCCCTTTGTGTAGCTTAGTGATTGGATGGCAGGGTTGAAATCCCATCACAGTGACTCGTCACGTGTGCGCTCTTGGGGACATCTCCTCTCTGAACTTGTTTCCTCATGTGTACCATGAGAGTGATAACAGGACTTGTCACTCAGGGTTGTGATGAGGGCTTGAGGCCTTGGTGCTGGGCTTCCAGAGCTGGTGCTTGATTATAACATGCCAGTAACTTTCCAGGATAAGTGATGGTGTTCTTACCTTTCAGATGAGGACACTGAGGCTCAAATGAGTTAATAAGTTGCAATAAACAAACAAACAAACAAACAACCCAATACAAAAATGGTCAGAAGACCTGAACAAGCAGTTCTCCAATGAAGAAATACAAATGGCCAATAGGCACGAGAAAAAAGCTTGATATCTCTAATTATCAGAGAAATGCAAACCAAAACTACAATTCAGTATCACCTCACACCAGTCAGAATGGCCATCATTCAAAAGTCCACAAACCATAATGCTGGAGAGGCTGTGGAGAAAAGGGAGCCCTCCTGCACTGCTGGTGGGAACGCAGTTTGGTGCAGCTGTTATAGAAAACAGTGTGGAGATTCCTCAAAAAACTAAAAATAGACTTACCATATGATCCAGCCATCCCACTCCTGGGTATATATACAGAGGGAATGCTAACTTGAAAAGATACATACACCCCAGTGTTCATAGCAGCACTATATACAATAACCAAGATATGGAAAAAGCTAAATGTCCATCGACAGATGACTGCATAAAGAAGTTGTGGTATATTTACACAATGGAATACTACTCAGCCAGAAAAAAGAATAAAATAATTTTATTTGCAGCAATATGGGTGGACCTAGAGATCATCATTCTAAGTGAAGTAAGCCAGAAAGAGAAAGAAAAATACCATATGATATCACTCATATGTGGAATCTAAAAGAAAGAAAAAAAGAGGACACTAGTGAACTCATCTACAGAACAGAAACAAACTCGCAGACATAGTAAACAGTCTTATGGTTACCAGGGGAAAGGGGGTAGGAAGGGATAAATTTGGGAGTTTGAGATTTGCAAATGTTAGCCACTATATATAAAAATAAATACCCCCCTAATTTCTTCTGTATAGCACAGGGAACTATATTCAATATCTTGTAATAGCTTTTAATGAAAATGAATATGAAAATGAATGTATGTATGTATATGCATGACTGTGACATGTGCTGTACAACAGAAATTGACACATTGTAACTGACTGCACGTCAATTAAAATTAATTAAAAAATAAAATAAAAAATAAAAACTACTTTCCTCATTAAAAAAATGATAAGCATTTAGTTTGGAGGAAAAAAATAAAAATACTCAGCATTCAGCAGAGTGCTTACCACATAGTAGGCACTCAATAAATGTCTGTTGAATGAACAAAAAATAAGTTAGTAAGTTGCCCAAGTTCTCACAGCTGGTAAGTGGCAGAGCTGAGGATTCCAACCCAGGTCAGACGAATGTCAAATTCCTGGCTCTTCCCCGCTCCCGCTGTCCTCTGGCAGCAGGCCCGATGCCCATTACTGCTCCTCTGTAGACCACTCTAGCTCAGTGACCTGAACTGAAAGTGACAGGAGAGAATGAATAACAGTGAATTAATCCACAGGGCTGTTGCATTAGCTCTGTTTCTAGATGAAGAGAGAAAAGCTAAGCTTCAGAGTAAAGACTGAACAAAATGACATTTTTTTTAAACTTTTTTTTAAAAACAACTTTATTGTGGTATAACATCTATACAGGAAACTACACATATTTCAGATGTACAATTTGAAGAGTTTTGATAGATGTATACACCTATGAAACCACCACCACAATCAAGATACCTAACATTTCCATCACTCCCCAAGAGGTGTAGATTTCGAACTCCCAATTTATCCTTCCCACCCCCTTTACCCACTGGTACCCATAAGTCTGTTCTCTATGTCTGTGAGTCTGTTTCTGTTTTGTAAATAAGTTCATTTATGTCTTTTTTTTTTAGATTCCACATATAGGCTGTAGCATACGGCATCTTTCTTTCTCTTTCTGGCTTACTTCACATAGAATGATGATTTCCGGGTCCATCCATGTTGCTGCAAATGGCATTATTTTATTCTTTTTTTCCTGACTGAGAAGCATTCCATTGTATATAGAGACCACAATTTCTTTATCCAGTCATCTGTTGATGGACATTTACGTTGTTTCCATGTCTTGG